ATTACATCATAGGACACCCTCACGCTTCCTTCCGTCTGGCCGAAGGACCCCTGATCAGAATTGATTGCTCCAACATCGTGGAGGATTGACTGTCATCGTGGAGGATTGACTGTCAGCTTGCCCTGCTTCCACCTTTCCTCTCAGGACTATTATAACAACCTGTCAGATAAAACATGAAAAGCAAGAAAGGTCTGAGAAGCTACAACTGCTACCAATTCTGTCTAAACCCTAAACCCCGCATATGAGCCTCCTGAAATCCCTGGCATTATAACCCGTGCTTGTCTGGTTTCTGTCCAAAGCCTCAACCCTAAACCTCGGCTGCCGCCTGTCGCGCGTGTCTCTTGGATGCTCTTCTAGGCCCAGATTGGGGCTGGTTCCTCAAGTGCCTGGGTCTTCTGTTGGGAAACCAAATTGCCCGAATTGTGTCATTCTTCCCATCGTAAAAAGTGCCCAATCAGCCATGTCACTTTGTCATCTGCCAACCAGATACGCTTGAATTTAGAAAGTGTCATCTGTTCTGTCTCTGGATTGTTCTGCACTCAGAATTTAGCCTTTCTTCAATGGCAGAGGATTTCTGCTTCAATCATCTCTTTGGCTGTTGCCCACACCTCCCATGGGTTGTTCGTGCCATCCAGGGTTCTGCTGTATCTCTCCTTCCATATGGCCCCTAGTGTGACCTTGCATATCATCCCAAACCATATTATCTCTGATGCCTGGTACCTGCTGTGTTCACCTTTCTTCCTTCAGCTCATCAGTCCGTCAGTTCCAGGTGTGGTCTGGAGTCTCCGGCCTGCTTCTGAATTGTGCCAGTCTTTCCAGCATACTCGGTCATTACGCAACTCGGCGACCTTACCATTTGCCAGCCATTGTCCGGTAAACTTCTTCCTGATCTTTTCTTGCTGGTCCTCGTCCTCAGGCATCGACATCCTTAGTTTCTGCCATCTGCAGAGAATTTCCGCCTGTAGAATAGATTTTGTCTCCGCCCATACCTTCTCCCTTGGGTTGGACAGACCTTCGATAGTCCTGGAGCATCTTTCTTTCCAAATGATCCACAGATTCACTTTCCTGACCAGTCCGAACCACAACCTTTCTGTTTTCTGAAGATGATCAGGGATGTTAGTCCAGAGTAGGATTTGTATGGGGTGTTCGGGGAAGAGGGAGTCCCAGAGGGCTGAGGCCCGTGCCCAGTAGTCAGTCGCCTCGCTACATCGGATTAGACAGTGGACTATGTCTTCTTGAACCCCTTCTGTACAGACTATGCATATAAATTTCTTCCATGGGATCTGTGTAATTTTATCGGCTTCCTGGCCTATTAGTTTTTGCCATCTGTTTTTGATTGTGGGGTCTGGGTTTTTTGTTTTGATTAGGAGTTTGTAACCGAGCTTAACTGTGTAGTCGTATATGGAGACCTTAGTCTTGATATTCCTTTCCTTATCCGGTGTCCAGATTAGGACTGACGTGTCTATTCTGAAGATTGATTTCGGCCATGACCCTAGTACTCTTACCTTCTTGAGAAGATAAAAGTCCATGGATATCACTTCCACTTCTCTGTTTAATATAGACGCTGCTCCGTGTTTAGACGGAGAAATCGGGAAGGAGGAGAAGAATGCTGTGGTTGTCGAACCCGGTTGCATGTGAGAAAATTGGAAAGCTCGTGAAGGCGGGGACTTTTGTATCTTAACCCCCCATTCTCCAGATTTCCACGGCACCGCTTCGCACAAGATGTCTTTCCAGTCTTGAGGGAAGAGGTTGACAATGTACTGGAGGTTACAAGTGCGCTTGTGACATCCCTTCAGCTACGTGCTTAGCTCCTGATCGGTTACCCACTCCTTTTGTTCTTCATTCCAAAGGTGACTTACTTTCCACACCCCATTCTTTACCCATGATAGCCATTTGTGATTTAAGTGCAGGGGGTTATCGCCTTCATCTGTCACCCATTGGTTGCCGAACAGTGGTTGTCTGAGAACCTCGTCCTTGGACCTTGGTCTATTGGTCTTTTTTGGTAGAATTTCTCTCCATATCCGAATCAGGGCTGTCCAGTATGGAGTGGGGTGAGTGACTTCCTCAGCTCTAGTTCCTCTTCTTGGTTTTCTCCGCCCTGTCTTGGGGCTCCATTCCTTTGTCATTACCCAGAACAGACCTGTCATGTTTTCGGGTGAGGCCACTGGTGCCAACGTTCTAATGCTATCTAAAGCTAATTTGTTCCATGCGTTGTCGGGCTGCATCAGAAGCTTGATTATCCATTTAACCTGGAGGGCCCTTGTTTCCTGTCTAGGGTCTATGACCCCTATACCCCCATACACTCGTGATATACTGCCAGGCAATCTTAGGGATGCAACCCTCTTTGTTAGGATTACCCATCCATAGATAGGACCTTGCTCTACGGTTAAGTTCTTTTATCGAGCTATCCGGAATTGTCCAGATTGAGGCTATATACCACATCATAGAGAACACTGATATGTTAAGAACTAGGGCCCGACCAATTAGTGAGGTAAAAGTGTTTCCCCATCTCCCTAGTTTATTAATTTGCTTTGCCAGGACATTTTGTGCCATTTGAGGTGCCAGACCCTCCATCGTCATGAGGATGCCGAGGTGGCGAGTTGGAGTGTCCGGTGCTTCCCAAGTCATGGCCGCTTCCGGCCCTTGCATAGAAGGGAGGTTCTCGTCTGATAGCCACCACCCTACCGTCTTTTTCCAATTAACCCTCGTCTCTGAGGCCAGTCTGAAAGTTTCCATGGCTCTCGCCAATGTTCTGAATGAGGAGTCTGAAGCTCTAATCAGGACAGTGAGGTCATATGCGAACATTAATATTGTCGGGAAGTTCATATGGTGAGTTGAGCCCACATTGACCTCTTGGAGTCTGTGAATGGACGGGTCCTTGCGTAGGAAAGACGCGGTCGCTTCCATTACGAACAGGAAGATAGATGGGGCTAACGGATCACCTTGACGTACTGACCTGGAGATTGGATAGCTTTCAGACAACAAGCCATTTACCTGAACACAGCCTGTAGCATCGTTGTACAGGATACGTACCCATTTCCTAATATTTGGTCCCACTCCCATCTTCTTCATGCTTGCATAAAGGAAAGACCAGTTAACTTGATCGTACGCCTTTTCAAAGTCGAAAAAAAGGATGGCTGTGTTTATCCTCTTTTCTTTGACTTATTAGCTGCTTCACTTAGAGTCAATACGTTGTCCAGTATGTACCTCCCCGGGATGAAACTTGTCTGGTCGATATGGAAACACTTATCTATTAATTTCATGATTCTAGCAGATAGGGTTTTTGCCAAGATCTTGTAAGGAAGCGTGAGAAGCCAAATAGGTCTGTAGTTCCTGATGCCCTTTTTTTCTCCCTTCTTGTACAGCAGAGTGACTACGCTACTACTTAGAAGATTACCCATACCCCCTTTGGCCCAACTATTATCGTAGAAGCTTAGCAAGTCGCCACCCAAGAGTGGCCAAAAATTCTCCCAGAATTCTTTCGTTAACCCATCAATCCTCGGTGACTTATTATTGTTATACTCTTGAGAGCCTGATATACTTCTTCCGAAGTGAGTGGTTCGTCTAGTGCTTCCGCTTGCTCGGTTGTCATCGTCTGTTCCAAGTATTGTAACATCCTTTGTCTTGCTTCCCTTGTGCCGAGAGGGGTAGGCACCCGGGTTTTGGATTGGTAGAGCTTTTGGTAAAAATCCTTAGCTATTGCTTCCGTTTCTTCGCTGTATGATACTCTCTTCCGGGGTTGTGAGAGTTCTAAGGCTTTCTATAGTACTCACCCTTAAGTTGGCGTTGATGCGGGCAAAAAAATGTTTCGATATTGATTCGCTGAGTTCGTATTCATTCATTCTGGCTCTTATTTTGAGTCCTTTTAGGTTCCACCATCTCCACCGCGCTAGTTCCTCACGTGCTTTCTCAAGGACTTCTAAGTATAGTGAAGACGATAGATTGCTAATTAGGTTGGTCTCAACAATCTTTAGGGCCGATTCCAACGTCTGTCTCCTTGTTTTCTCATGGTTGCTAGCCTCCTTGAGATTTTTGCCACTGATTGGGAAAGAACGGAGTAGCTCTCTTGGAACCATTTCCATCGATCGTAAGTGGGCAAGCGTGTGGCTTTCTGGTTTTGCCAGCAATCCCATACCCCGTCCTGAAAAATCTGGCTCAATAGGAGAGAGTTGTTAAGTTTGTAAAAACTGGCCCCTTTTTTTACAAAATGTTCAAAGCTGATTACGAGCTCGATCGACTTGTGATCTAGGCACGAGTAAGGTGCAAGAGGCAGAACTTCAGCACCTTTGACGGCTCCCATCATCGTCTCTGATACTAAGAAGTAACCTATGATTGAGAAGGCAGTGTGATGAACGTGATTCTTCTTAATTAGTGTAAATGTCCTCATGGACGGGTGCAGGGTTCTGTGTGGTTCTACCAGGCTGTGATCTAGCATCAATTTCTAGATTGGAATCGCCTCTTGTGAGTTGGGTGAACTAGACGACCTTAATATCCGATCTGTGGAAGGGTCTATTGTGGCGTTCCAATCTCCAGCTACAATACAATTTGAGAGTGGGGGAATCAATCTGCTTAGATTGGCGATGAAGGCGGTCCTCTCAGATGAATCATTTGGGGCGTGGACGTTAATCAATACAAACTCTTCCTCTTCCTCTTCCCATTGGAAGTGCATGATGCACCATCTTCCATCACTAGGGTCAGCTTTTTTGTCTAGGATTCTTCTTGCCGTGTAGATACGAGAGGATTTAAAGATCAAAAGTGTGTATGCAATTCTGAAGGTGACTTAAACGTGGTTTCCATAATACGTGCAAGCCATGTAATGTTGAAGAAAGGTGTCAGACAGTCACAGTGAAATACATCCATCGAGCTATGAGAAATGCAGGACGCTCTCACAGCTCTAGGATGGAGCAAAATATAGTACCGTAAAACTTCTGATAGCAAAGTGGTTGAAACTTGGAAGTTTGTAGAAATTGATGGAACATCATTTCAAAGAGGTGCCATACCTGAGCTCTTAGGTCAGAGATGTTGTCCTCAATCTTCCTTGTGCCAGGAATGACACGTGATTTGGTTCCCACAGGACATTCACTGTCTTTCTCATAGTGCGGAGACAGGAGCAATGCACTAATGGCTTCTTCCTGCGCACATTCAGTTTTATCCAGACCACAAAGTGACGAGCATGTCATTTTTCCCCTCGCTCATTTCCTTCAGTATCTCAATGGTTGTCATCGTGTACTCAACAACGTTCCAAACAATTGCCAAACTTGCATTCGTTATTCGAACAGCAACACACACACGCACACACACACACACACACCCACACACCCACACACCCACACACACACACACACACACACACAGAGATAGATAGATAGATAGATAGATAGATATATATATATATATATATAGAGAGAGAGAGAGAGAGAGANATAGATAGATAGATAGATAGATAGATATATATATATATATATATAGAGAGAGAGAGAGAGAGAGAGAGAGAGAGAGAGAGAGAGAGAGAGAGAGAGAGAGAGAGAGAGAGAGAGAGAGAGAGCTGTGGGCACAAAGCATGTGGTGCCATGACAATATTACAGTTACGAGGTAGGCACAGGGAACAAAGAACAATAGAGGCACACACATGAGACAAGATCAAAGTGCAAATGGCAACTGTTTAGCAGAGAAACAGAAAACACAATCAACTCAAGCTCAGAGTTTTCCCTCCCAAAAATATAGTTTTGCCCTCAGATACAGTGCCACTACCTTACCAAAAATTTACTTGGAAATCTAATTGATAGAAAATCCAGAATAGCAGCTTTCCCAACAAACAAAACAGTCTCACTACAACGAAAAGAAAAGTATGTTGCTCTAGGCACTAGCAGAGGGGCGCTCTCAGGTCCAAAGCCAGTATTACAATTACGACTTTCATGAGAACCTGATGATATTGAGGCACTATGTGCAACTGATGCTGCCCAAGTACATCCTCATCAAGAGGGATCATCATATCGAGGAGTTTCCATTATCTTCTAGCCTGGAGAATGCTCGTTAGATATTTAGGGTCTTACTTGATGAATGGTTGTGTGAATTATAGCATACCAGCATTCTAACTCTGGGCTTACCTCTGTGTAACGTGACATGTTTCTGAGGTATACACACGCTAGGACTTCCTTAATGTATTGAACTGTTTTTGTGAACAGATGCAACACACAAAGCCAGATGGATGTGGGGATAGCTTTGGCCTGAGCAGTGTATGGGCATAGATTTATCCTGAACTAGCTTTCTGCGTTTGACCATACTCGTGAGATGCATCTAGAGCCAGTTGATCTTAAAAAAAAAAAAAAAAAAAGACTTATGGTTCTGGCTCCTTATCCATTCTGGGGAGAGTCAGTCCGGTTCCTATTCCACTGGCAACTTGTGGCAAGTGACCATAATTTGATTGATGATCGAACTTGCAGAATGTGCATGACTTGGTCTCTCATGAACATTGTTGCTAGCCCTTCGATTGATTTTGTTTAACGAATACGGCGAGCGCTCGATCCCTGGACCTCTTGCAGGGTGCCATACAATTTTTTTAGTTATTTTTGGCATGTTTGGGTACTAGCGTGTACCCTTCTGCCACCAGCTTATTTCGGACATACCTCACGGCCTACCATCTTCACCCGAATAGAATGCCCGGTCATTATGGCTGCATCTGTACTGGAAGTTGTCCCAAGTACGGCTATAATGACCAGGCATTCTATTCGGGTTGGTGAAAGGATTGACACTGCAGACACCCAGTCCCCGACAATTCCCAAGTCCCAGGGCCATCCTGTAGGGTAGGCTGTAGGGTGTAGAGGCCGAAGTGTCGTAGGCCCGTAGGTGTCGGTACCAAAGTGTCGTAGATCGGTAGGAGTCCGTCTGATACCCGACAAGAAAAGTCCAGAAGCATCCAGGAAAGTCCGGAAGCTACCAGACCAACAAAATGTTTGCAGCAGACAGGCTGCGGTCGACCGGTACAGGTCTGAAGCAGGCCAGGCCAAGCCAAGCCAACCGAAGCCAAGTCCGATATTTAGCTGCTACAGTGCAGCGGCTCATCACTAGTTCAGTTGTGAGATACGGAAGCGCTGCTGCTGCTTGTGGCAACTTGGGCACTGCGCACCTGAAGAAAAAGAGGGCGCTTGGGTGATACTCCATAGCTAGGCTAGAGATAGAGCAGGAGGACGGCGGCCATAGCCGCCAAGGTGTAAGCTATGTGTGTGTGTGTGTGTGTGTGTGAGAGAGAGAGAGAGAGAGAG